TGGTAAATTAAATGCCATTCATATGCAAAATCTTGCATCTTATCAGGTATATATATATGGCGAAGCAAACTTCGCATGTTATATCTTCACATTCGAAGTAACGCTTGCTCCTATATTTTGTGTTACTACATGAGATTGTTAGTCTAACTTTTATGTGCAATACAGTAATTTATTTTCTTATAGTCATTTGATCTTGATTGCTGTTATCATTATACCATTCTGTGTATATAGTGATAGATGATTCTGGAAATCTGATTTCTATTTCTGTATTATTGATTTTACTCTATTTAGAGCTAAACAAGTATGTAATCATATATTTAATTTTTTTTATTTTATTAATATTCAAGTCTAACTACTATCAATTTCTTTCGTTCCTTGTTTCACATGATGACATCGACTGATACTAACTATGATTAAGATTGGCAATCATATCGATATAAAAAAATTTCATCTACCATATTTTTATATTTTACTTTGTACTTTGCTTCTGAAGACTCTTCTCTTTTTACTTTTAATATATTTAATATACTAACTTTCTTTTTCTTTCAGGTTTTTCGGCTCCTTGTTTCTTTCGGCTCCTTGTTTCTTTCAGCTTCTCGTTTCTATCAGCTCCTCATTTCTATCAGCTCCTCGTTTTTTTCAACTCCTCGTTTCTTTTCGCTCCTCATTTCTATTGGCTTCTTGTTTCTTTCAACTTCTTGTTCTTTCGACTCCTTATTTCTTTTGGCTTCTTGTTTCTTTCAACTCTTCATTCTTATCGGTTCCCCATTTCTTTCAGCTCCTCATTTCTTTTAACTTCCTGTTTCTTTTGGCTTCTCATTTCTTTCGGCTCCTCACATCCATGGTTAGATCTTCGAAATAGACTTTCGGTTTTGCTTTCCAGCATTCTTTCTTATAAGTATTCTTGTTTTTTTTTTCCAGCATATAATTATCTTATCTCATTCTTCTTTTTCTTTTAGGTTTTAGCTTTCTTGTTTCTTTGGGTATTTATGGTTAGATCTTCGAAATAGACTTTCAGTTTCACTTCCCAGCATTCTTTTTTTTTTTATTATATAATAACTTACTAACTTGCTGCTTTTTTTCTTTTAGATTCAAGCTTTTTTTCTCATTATTTTCGGTATCCATGGTTAGATCTTTGAAATAAACTTTTAGTTTTACTTTCTAGCATTCTTTCTTATAAGTATTCTTGTTTTTTTTTCAAAATATAATTAACTTACTAACCTTATTCTTCTTTTTCTTTTAGGTTCTAGCTTTCTTGTTTCTTTCAGTGTCTATGGTTAGATCTTTGAAATAGACTTT